AATTACTTATTCACACAGCCTTGTATTAGTTTCTGTTTGCTCCATAACAAATAACAGCAATCTCAAGGCTTAAAATGAATCTGAAGGTTCTGGAAGAAATTCCCAAGCTCATTCTAGGTAGCAGAATTCAGAGTTTCTTGCCATTGTGGGACTGAGGTCCCCGTTCTCTTGCCACCGTCAGCTGGGGCCTCTCAGTTCCTGGAGGTCACCACATCCCTCGCCCCCGTGTCCCCTCGTCTTCAAGTCAGCAACAGCACAGCAGATCCTTCCAGTCTTTGACTTCTGTATGTCTGGCTTATACGCAGAGTTAAGAGACTCGGGTTAGACGAGGCCCACCCACAGTCTGCTTAAGGGGCCTTACGTACACGTGCAGGGTCCCGCTGACGGAAGGCCGCACAACCACCGGCGTGGGGTTTCCTCATCCACACAGGTTCCGCCCACGCTCGGGTAGGAGCCATAGGGACCACCGTAGGACTCAGCCTACCCCAGGCCTCAACCCTGAACTCGTAAACAGTGATTCGAGGGAAACCTATTTGTCCAGATAGTGCTCCTGAATGGTTTTGGTCTACTTTAACCCTAGTGGGATTTTTTGGCCTGTGGTTGTCATGGACAGAGACCGGCTGTGAATGTCCTCCACGTGAGCTTCCAGCAGCCACTTCGGTCTGGGTCTTGGGTTCCCACATCTCAGAGGAGGCGGCTGGAGAAGATGGGCCCTCCTTCGTAGGCACGTGGATACACACAAGGCCAGACCGACCTCCGCCCTCATCCAAGGCCGACATGGCGTGCCTTTCCCTCTGTGCCTCTCAGGGCACGCGTCACCCAGCATCAGTCAGTGTCCTCCCCTTGGTCAGCAGGCGTGTCCCCTCCAGGAAGCCCTTCCTCACCGCCCGACACACGGTGAACACTTGTCCCCGCCGTCCGTATGGCACCCGGTCCGCGGGTGCACTCGCGTGTCCTGGTCTGGACGAGCTCTTGCGAAGGGTGGAGCTGCAGTTTGCCGGGTGGCCTGCTGTGCACGGAGGGGCCGGGTCTCCACCTTTTCCGTCACACCAGTCCTGCCTGTGATGTGTGTGCGGGCTCCCCCTCTGCCAAGTCCAGCCCCCTAGGGAGCACGGGAGGAGGTCCCTGGCCTTGGGCGGTAGGGCCGCCTTCATCCTCGCTCCCGGGCCTCCCTCGTGCAGCACTGCAACGGCGTTGACTGGCGTCAGAAGCTGGACTCCCAGCGAGGGGCCGTCATTGCCACCGAGCTGAAGAACAACAGCTACAAGCTGGCCCGCTGGACCTGCTGCGCGCTGCTGGCCGGCTCGGAGTATCTCAAGCTCGGGTGAGAGCCCTGTCTGGGGGCCGGGAACTCCGCCGCCGACGGGAGAGGGGTGCGGGCCGAGAGGCCAGTGCTTGCCTTTCCCCCCTCCCTGGGAAAGAGCTGGCATCCGGCCCCCGGTATCGGGAGTCTCTGTGCCGCCCTGCCCCGCCGGCGCTGACACCCCTTCCCCCACGCCCCACCCCTAGTTACGTGTCCCGCTACCACGTGAAAGACTCCTCGCGCCACGTCATCCTGGGCACCCAGCAGTTCAAGCCTAATGAGTTTGCCAGCCAGATCAACCTGAGCGTCGAGAACGCCTGGGGCATCCTGCGCTGCGTCATCGACATCTGCATGAAGCTCGAGGAGGGCAAGTACCTCATCCTCAAGGACCCCAACAAGCAGGTCATCCGCGTCTACAGCCTGCCCGACGGCACGTTCAGCTCTGATGAGGACGAGGAGGACGAGGAGGAGGAGGAGGAGGAGGAGGAAGGTGTGTGGCGGGCCTCTGAAGTCTAGAGCGAGCTACAGGCTGCCCGGGCCCGAGCTTCACAGCCGCCATTCTCTTCAGCCTTGAAGTGAAACTTCCCGACAGGGACTCGGAGGCAGCCTTCAGTCGGGAGCCTTTAGACCCCGGGGGTTGGTGGAGAGACCAGGCCAGTGGAAGTCCCGATAGCAGCCAGTGGTTTGAAGGAGGAGAGGTGGCTCTGGGCTAGTTATCTGGGCCCACAGCTGCCTCTCCCTGCTTCCCCAGAAGCACCTGTAGCCCTATGGGGACCTGAAAGGCTTCCCAGTGCAGGAGGCGAAAACCGTAAGCGGCTCACCAGGATGACACGCTCATTTCTCTAACCTTTTGTGTCTTTCAGAGGAGGAAACTTAAACCAAACGGTGACGCGGAGCTGGAGTTTGTAATTCCACGGAGTCTAGAAGGAATTGATGCCAAGAGGAATGCTGGAGTGGTTTCTTGCTCTCTGAAGTGCAACAGGAAGAATAAAGTCTAACTGTTTAGTCTCTTACCTTCGTCACGTGCTGACGTGATTGGCAGCCACTCTTCTTCCCCCGCCCCCCGTAGCCCTTGGGAGAGGGAGGGGGAGACATAGCTGTTTTCTACCTGGAGTTCATAATCACAGCTCCTTCATTTGTTCTTGAGAGTTACTCACATCACACTGCTGTTAAAGGGTGAGTGTCCTGGGTATTTTTGTCCCTGGAACCCCTTGACATGAAGCTCTCCTGGGGAGTGCTGTCAACTGTGAGGCGCCTCATGGAGGTCCCACCCCCAAGAGGTTTCCATAGACGTGGGTGCCTGCTGGCCAGGTGCCAGACCCGCCTGTTGCCCTTGGAGACACAAATCACTAGTAAAAAGTAAAGCAGGACACGGTCTTTGCAGGTTGAGCTGGGTGTGCTGCTTATGAAGGATGCTGCCCCAGAAGATCCTGACGGCGGTTCCAGGTGCTGGGAGTCACTGGTTTGTCAATTGTTTTAAAGTTTGGTTTGGGCAGGTGACAGTCTCAGGCTGGCCACCCTCAAAGCAGTGTGTCGTAAACCTGCCACAGGTGCTTAAGCTACGCAGACTTTTTCTTATTCTAATGTCCGTTTATTTTGACAGCAAGAGCATGCGAGCTGGGGAGGGGCAGAGAGAGAGAATCCCAAGCAGGTTCTGCCCTGTCAGTGCAGAGCCCGACATGGGGCCCAGTCCCACGAACCGTGAGACGAGCTGAGATGAAGAGTCGGACATTAGCCAGCTGAGCCACCTGGGCGCCTGTGTCAACTTTTTATAAGTGAATTATGTTCTATTGTTGACACTATGAAGTAACTACCTTACTGGGTATTACACTAAGCTTTTCATAAATCTGTCATCTGAGCCTGACCCCAAACTGTCACACTGGTCCAAGTGACATCAGTGTACGGATGAGGAAACTGGCTCAGCTTTGGAGTAACCTTCCCAGAGTTACTATTTTAACCAAAATAATTGAGCCTCAGAAGGCAACGAAACATTTATCAGTTTTGTTCGAGTTAGCTAGGACATGAAACCTACTTCCTGGGGGGTCTGCAAAATAGGGAGATGGTTAAAGTGGTGTGACAAGTACCATGGGGTTTCAGACCTGGGCCTGGTACCCCCTCCCAAATTGCCTCTTGCAGCCCCACGACTCAGTCCAGCAGGATTCACTGGGATGGGGGGCCAGGTGGAAGTTCAGTTCAGCCCTGGTCTCTAAAAACGGCACCGGCTTCCAAATGCCTCATTTATTTTCTCCATCCCCCGCCCCTGTCCATCCTGCTTGGGGCCATCAAGGTGAACGGCTTCAGCCCCGACTCCCGAAACCTTCCACTGCACCCGGCTGCCTGCGGTTCAGGGTCAGCCCCTATCAAGGCCCTGCCATCCTTTTTTAGGCCTGATTTCCCACTACTCCCCAAATAAGACCAGCAACTACCTCGGGAACTCTGTTATTTGCCAGCACACATTCTCAAGTCTTCACAACCACTGAGAAGCAGGCCTTCCTACTTTATTTTTGGTTAGGCACTTTGTAGAGCCCGTCTGCTTTCAGTATTCATTCAGCAAATGCTTACTGGTGGCCTACCGTTTGCCAGAGGCTGGAGAAAGCAGTGAGGTCACCAGAGTGAATAAGATCGTTTCTGCTCTAGAATCTTCTCTGTTATGGATACAACCTATAAATAGAGACATGTCATGCCTTAGTGGATACTTTGTTCTGAGAGGTCAGGGAAGACTTCTCTAGAGAGGGCCTAGGGACAATTTTTAATAAGAAGCTCCAGCCATGCAAAGCTAGACCAGAGAATTCTTTCCACATTAGGCATGGCTGCCTTTCCATGAGAACCCTCCGCTCCACCTCACTGGACTGCTTACGGCCCCCTGGAAGGTTCCTGTACTTGCCTCAAAACTTCATATGTTCTGCCCTCTAAATCTGATGCAGGACCCGCATTCCACCTCTGAAAAGCCAGCAGCCACCGCCCCGTTCACCTGAAAGGCGGTTCTCCATCACCCTGCCATTCACTCGCGTCCCCTTCAGCCACACCCAGTTGCTGTGAATTAGCAGTGGACTTGCATCCATACTGGCCTAGCATAGGCCGGTTTGTTTACATTACCACGAACACAAAATAGGATTTGTGAATAAAAAGCTTTTTGGAAAGAGCTCATAATTTGGAGCATAAGGGGGGGGGGGGTGATTTCTGGGTTCCACCGAACTGCGTGGTCTCTAGCAAGCCGCTCCATTTTGGCCCCTGGCTGCAGAATGTAGGAAACAAGCTCACCTCCTTCTCCCGGCTGGTGGCACGGCCAGCCAGTAACGGATGTTACTTAGCAAACAAAAGACAGATTCTGACTTCCCCAGCATGGTTTCCAGTCTCCCAAAACTGGGTAGCCAGCCAACAAGTCTGGCGACGTTAACAGCGCGGGGAAAGAACTGGGTTTAACTCCAAAAGTCACCTGTCTCCGTGCCTCACCTACACGTGGCGACGCACAGCTTTAAAACTAGAGCCTGGCGCCCCACAAGCGCCCCAATCCCCAGCGCCACCGGCCACCAGCCGCTCCAGACCGCGGGCAGCACGTGCGCGCCTGTCCCGCGCCGCCGGGACCCCACGGCCGCCCCGCCCGTCCCGGCGTGCAGCGCGCAGCCCACGTGACCCCCGCCCCTGCCATTGGCCGCGCGGGAGGGGCGGGGCCGCCAGGGCGCCCGCGGGCCGAGCGCGGCCCCAGTCGACTGCGGGCTGTCTCCCGCGCGGCTGGGACGTCCGCGCTCCGTGCAGGGAAGCGGGTGCTGCGGGCGTGGGTACCGCGCACGCGTGGGGAGCGGCCCCCGGAGAGCGCGCGCCGGCAGGACTGCGGCCTAGCGCCGCGTGGCGACAGGTGTTCTGGGTCGTCCCTGTCACGTGGCCGAGGAGTCCGGCTCGCCCGGCACCTAGAGGGGGCGGGGCCTGCAGGCCACACCTCCTTCGGTCTAGGACCTGAGGGCGGGGGCGTGGCCAAAGAGGCGTACCTTGGTCTCAGCTGAGGAGGGCTGGGGAAGGGTGTTGGGCACCCCTCAAATTAGGGGAGGAATAGGGGAACACCCACCCTCGTACTACCATGGCAGTAAGGAGGGTGGCGTCCCTGGGTACGGAGGCCTTCGAGGAGATGGAGGTGATTGGGATTTCTGGGGGGAGCCCCAGATCCGAGCTTGAAAGGATGAAGGCAGGTAAATGATCTCAGAGGGCCTTGGGGTCTGGTCCTGGCCGACCTCAGATTGCAGCGAGCGCCTAGGCGAGCCCCAGTCCTTCTCCCATCTGCCCGGTCCTCGAGGGGCCAGCCAGGGCGCGAGGCCTCACATCCCTGGCCTGCCGCAGAATGGGCCTGTCGGCTGCAACCCGGTTGTGGGGCCCGCCGGGACTGCTCCTGACCTTCGCACTGCACCCAGCTTTATGCTCGCGCCCGGCCCCGAACTCGGGGCCACCGCACCGGGACTACTGCGTCCTGGGCGCTGGGCCCGCTGGCCTGCAGATGGCCTACTTCCTGCAGCGGGCCGGGAGGGACTACGTGGTGTTCGAGCGCGCCCGGCGGCCCGGCATCTTCTTCACGCGCTTCCCACGCCACCGCAAGCTCATCAGCATCAATAAGCGGCACACGGGCAAGGCCAACGCCGAGTTCAACCTCCGCCACGACTGGAACTCTCTGCTCAGCCACGACCCCCGGCTGCTCTTCAGACACTACTCCAGCGCCTACTTCCCCGATGCGGGCGACATGGTGCGCTACCTGGGTGACTTCGCAGACAGGCTGGGGCTCCGGGTGCTGTACAACACCACCATTGCCCACGTCACTCTGAACAAGGATCGGCAGGCATGGAATGGCCATTACTTCATCCTGATCGACCAGATGGGCCATGCACACCGGTGCAGGTAAGGGGCCTGGCTCCGGAACCGATCTGCTGCCGCTGGGGCCTCTCCCAGGGGAACTGACACCCCTTGGTTGGCCGGTAAGTTTGGCAGAAATGAGAGAATAAGGGCATTTCTGCCACTCCTTGCTCCCCCTGAAATCCAGTGCTAAGAGATTCAGCTCAGCCAACATTGCCCAAACGTGTCCAAAAAAAAAAAAAATTATGATCTGCTTGGAAGATACTAACCAGCGCCTTCCTGCAGGGTTTGTCGGTGTTTAATTTCTTCATGTTCGCTGTAACACTCCAGCCGTGGGCATTCAGTATCACCTAAGCATAGGTACCCACAAAGCTCTTTCGGCAGAGCATCTCCTAGAGCTAGTGTTCCCCCAAAATACATAGAGGGGAAAACATTCGGCAAGTGTTTGATGGGCTCAGTGGGATTTCAGGACCCAGCAGAAGTGAGAGGTCCCAACAGGCAGGGCCACCCGCATTCGGTGTTAGCTTGCTTCGGCTTGGGAGAAAGCTGGGTATTGTGTAGACTGCCCATACTCTGGGTCACACACTGCACTGCCCTTTTTTAATCCCCACAAGGACCCTAGGGAGCAGGGGGAGAGTTCACTGGCCCCAGTTTTACCGCTGAATAATTGAGGCTCAGAGAAGTTGATTAATTGGTGCTGTGTCACACAGTTAATAAGCGGTCCGGCTGCAGCCGTGTCTTCCTGACCCCAAAGCCTGTGTTCTGTCTGCTACACCAGACTGGCTCTCCCTTCCTGGCCGTTAGCCTGGCACCTGGCTCCGGGCAGGTGCCTGGAGGTCAAATTCTCATGCCTTTTGCTGGAGGCCCAGCTGTGCTTCTTGCTCGTTACAGCCCCAGGGGAGGAAGGCTTGGTCCAGCTTACACCCTCGCATGTACACAACCCAGCGACAAGCATAGGGGAGTCAGATCTGAGCTGCGTGGACAAGGGTCAGAAGTTCTAGTTTTGAAATCACCTGTTATCAAACCGACCCCCAGGATCCCACTCCCAGCTGCGCGCCGCCCCCCATCCCCACCCCCAGTATGAAGGGCCAGGCTTGGGAATCAGGCTGGTCTGGGTTCAGGCTCTGGCTCTGCTGCCCTGGGCCTGCAGGGCCTGTGTCTCCTCGCCTGGAAAGCAGGCCAAATAACCCCAACTCGGGGTTGCTTTGGGCAAGAAGATGATGTCTGGAGCGCTTAGTCGGGGCCTGGGATGAACTGCCGCTCAGCAGTTAGTTGCATCTGCCAGGCCGGTCAGAAAAGAGAAAAGAGATTTTCACCACTGAGGGTGACGGGTGGCCTAACGGCTATGTCCACAATTAGGTGAATGTTTCGATTTCTCCTGTGTCATCTTCTCAGAGAATCGGGTTGATTCTCGTATCTGGGACCATCCCAGAAATGTGTAAAGGAGACCGCTGGAGTGGGCTCAGTGAGGGCGAGGGTAACGTCTCAGATTCTCCGGGACAGGTGCCTAAATGGCTGAAGAAATGGACGTTCTCCTGTGTTCTTTTTTTCCTTAGTTTTTTTTAAATGTTTATTTATTTATTTTTTAAATGTTTTATTTATTTCTAGGAGAGAGAGAGACAGCGTGAGCAGGGGAGGGTCAGAGAGAGAGGGAGTCACAGACTGAAACAGGCTCCAGGCTCTGAGCTGGCAGTCAGCACAGAGCCCGACGCGGGGCTCGAACCCACGAACCGCGAGATCATGACCTAAGCGAAAGTCGGACGCTTAACCGACTAAGCCACCCAGGCGCCCCTAAATGTTTATTTATTTTTGAGAGAGAGACAGAGTGTGAGCAGGGAAGGGGCAGAGAGGGAAGGAGACACAGAATCCGAAGCAGGCTCCAGGCTCCAAGCTGTCAGCACAGAGCCCAACACGGGGCTCGAACCCATGAACCGCAAGATCATGACCTGAGCCAAAGTTGTCCGCTTAACTGACTGGGCCGCCCAGGTGCCCCTCCTATGTTCTTTTAGGAGCCAGTCGTCTGGGTGAGGCGGGCGAGCCAGATCACAGATCCAGGGAGTGCTTTTCATGTAGTAGCCTTACAGCTGAGAGACTAAGCCATCCTCCCTCTGTCCCCTCCCTGCAGCGTCCTTCTGGTAGCCACCGGTTTGTCAGTCCCCAACCAGGTCGACTTCCCGGGCTCCGAACACGTGGAGGGTTATGAGTCTGTGTCCGTGGACCCCAAGGACTTTGAGGGTCAGAACGTGCTGATCCTGGGGCGGGGAAACTCGGCCTTTGAGACGGCAGAGAACATCTTGGGTGTCACCAACTTCATCCACATGCTGAGCCGCTCCCGCGTCCGGCTGTCCTGGGCCACCCACTACGTTGGAGACCTCAGGTACGCTACGCAGTTGCTCGTGGATTGAAAGCCCTTCCTGACCCCACTGGACCAACCACCCCTTCCTCCGAGACTCCTTGTCCCCCGTACGGACGCCTTTCTCTCTCTTGGCATTTCCCTTGGGCCCCAGGGCCATCAACAACGGCCTGCTGGACACCTACCAGCTGAAGTCCTTGGACGGGTTGCTCGAGTCCGACCTGACGGATCTGGCCATCGTGAAGGACCGTGAAGGCAAGTTCCGCGTCACCCTGAGGTTCTTCCTGGAGGAAGGCAACCAGAGTACCGACGCCATCACCCTCCCCCAGGACGACAATGACAACTTCGCCATGCGTGTGGCCTACGACCGGGTCATCCGCTGCCTGGGCTGGAACTTTGACTTCTCCATTTTCAACAAGTGAGTCCAATCGGGGGAGGAACTGGGATCATTTAGCAAACCTCTTCTGACACCTCCCCGGGGGCGGGGGGCGAGGCAGGGGGGGCAAGGGCAGGTGGGCCAGCGACAGCTTTTAGGACTGCACCATCTCAGCGGATATGGATGCCACCTGATCTCCCGCCCAGGACGTGAGCTGTCTGTCCTCACAGGGACCGACGGCCCCAAGCGCTCCATCCTGTAGCAGCAGCGACAGTGGGTCTTTATCTGTGTTACAATCCTTCACCCGAGAGCTGGGAAAATGAGCCAAGGCAGAATAAGATGGTGAATTTGCTAAAAAGTGGCTAAGGATGCAGGCGCTGGCGTGGGCCTGAGATTCTCCACGTAGCAAATCTGTGGGTTCTGGGACAGTAACTTACCTGCACTGGGTCTGGTAGTAGGGATCGTACTTTCTTTCTCGCAGGCCTATTGTGAGGATTAATCCAGAAAGTACCCGGCATGTACTATACCCTTAACAAAGTGGTAGCTGCCGACATCGCTTACAATTAATTGTGTTGTGAACTCCTTTGCTTTAGACATTGCCGCCCCAGTCCCTTGGCAAGGTTTGGTATTAAAGAATCCATCCAGTGTCTCACTTTCGTCTGGCCAGAGCACAGGCAGACAAGGAGAAACTGGAAGGCCTGAACCAGACTCCATCCCATCAAGTTGAAGCCTGGAGCCCAGAGCCCAGCCTCCACTCAGGCTTGAATCCTGGCCCCCTCCCTGACCCACCACGTCTTTAACCTGAACCTCAGTTATTTCCATCTGTTAAGTAGAGATGATTATACCCAGCTCCTAGGGTCACGGTGTGGTTTAAATGCAATCAGGAGGGGTGCCTGGGTGGTTCAGTCAGTTAAGCATCTGACTTCAGCTCAGGTCATGATCTCTAGGTTCGTGAGTTTGAGCCCCGCGTTGGGCTCTGTGCTGACAGCTCGGAGCCTGGAGCCTGCTTCTGATTCTGTATCTCCTTCTCTCTCTCTGTCCCTCCCCTGCTCGTGGTCTATCTCTCTTTCAAAAATAAATGTTTAAAAATAATGGTAAAATAAATGCAGTAAGGCATATAAAGCCCTTACACTCAGCTCAGTGCTGAGCACAACATAACCATTTCGTACACAGCAGTGATTTTCACTAACGACGCTCTCCGCTCACAGGTCCCTCCGACTGTCTTCCGGGGGTGAGTTCAGCAAGAAGTACCCCCTGGTCAAAGCTAGCTATGAGTCCAAAGGAAGCCGGGGTCTCTTTGTCCTGGGTACCGCCAGCCACTCAGTGGATTACCGGAAGTCTGCCGGGGGCTTTATCCATGGATTCCGATACACAGGTGAGCCCGGCAGGGAGAATAATCCCCAGGGTTTGTAAACGTGCTCCTGATGCCCAGCAGCCTTAATGAGATTGCTTGCCAGTCTGAAATCCCCTGTCCGGGACAGAGGGCAACAGGTTTTCGTGATCTGAGGGTTTATCTAGAAAAGTGTCAGGTAAGGTGTGAAAGTAAAGTTCACCGGGAGTTAGCACGTTACGTGCTTGAGTCCTGCGCCAGCCAGGCACCAGGTGTTGGCCAGAAGGCCGAGTTTGGGCAGTGCTGCTGTGGGTTCCTCCCCAGCTGGGTGGTCTGAGAGGTGAGGCTTCACCACCTCTCTGGAAGCCTCTTTTGGACTGCGGGACCTCAGAGCTGTAAACGAGGTGAACTTTCCGCCCTCGTTGGGGCTGCTGTAAGGACTCCAGTACATGAGGACCTGCGGCTGTGAAGCGTGACGCACAGATCGTCCAGGTACCAACAGATTTCAGTAAAAGTTGCCGTCAGATTGTATCAGTCGTGACGGTGTGACTTTCCTGCACCGCAGGCGGGCTGGCGGACTTGGGTGGGTGGGGAGTGTCACGTGGACCAGTTGATTGTGCCACAGATGCCACAAGGATCCTGCATCCTGGCATTTCTGTATTTAATTTGATGACTCCCAGTAATTTAATGTTCATTTTTGCATTTGACTCTCCTTCCTGCTTGGCAGGGAAGAATAACCATGTTTGATTTCCAGACGATGTATTTTATGTCCCAGGGGTGATGGGTGTTGTCAGAGAGGGAAGCCAGAGAGCGAGTTTGCTGTCCCTAAGCCAAAATGTCCGCAGATTGAACACACACACACACACACACGCGCGCGCGCACACGCACTCAGAAGGAGAAGCATACGTCCCTTTAGCTGTGTCTCCCCAATAAGTCCTCAGGGCACCGGGGTGGCTCAGGAGGTTAAGCATCCAGCTTCGGCTCAGGTCACGATCTCACGGTCCGTGGGTTTGAGCCCCACATCGGGCTCAGTGCTGACAGCTCAGAGCCTGGAGGTTGCTTTGGATTCTGTGTCTCCCTCTCTCTCTGCCCTTCCCCTGCTTGCACTCTGTTTCTCTCTCTCTCTCTCAAAAATAAATTTTAAAAAATTTTTCTTAAAGGAAAAAAGAAAGAAATCTCCATCATTGTTCCTGTGCATGTTACCCTCCCTGCACCTGCTGTTCTGGAAGATTCTGCCGCACCGCCCCCACTTCCTTTTGTCCCCTGACCTTTCTTCAGCTCCCATACCCAGTCCTCATGTCAGCCTCTGTTACTGAAATGCCACTTCCCAGATAAGGAAACTGGGGTCACAGAGAACTTAAGTAATTTGCCCACAGTCACCCAGCCGGTTGGCAGAAGGGTCATTTGAATCCACATGCGTCTGATTCTAAAGCTCACAGCCAACCACTGAGCTTGGGCAAACGGGAAGCTGTCCCGGGTTGCTGTGTGGTCTGCACTACCAGCTGCAGATCCTGCCGGGGGAGGGGTGATGTGGCCCCCACATCCTGCTCAGACCCGACAAACCGGTCCCATGGCAGATCAGGCGCAAACAACAAGGCAGAGGAAAGCAGCAGAACATGAACTGTGAACGGCACAGACCGTGCCCGCACGGGGGGACCTGCCTGCCACCCAGCCCATCCCCCTCCTGTGTCTCAGCCACCCGCCAAAACATCCTTTCTGTAAACGAAAACAAAAAGAAGAAGTCTCCTTCCCCTGCTTACAGCTTAAGCGGCTCTCCATGGCTCCCCTCCTCCCCCGGGAAGCCTCCAGCTCCCCGGCGTGCCACTCTGAGCTTTGCCAGGCCCATGCCAGCTCACCTTTCCAGCTTGGTCCCTTGCCTGCTCTTCAGAACGCGCCAGACTCTGAAGCCTGTGACCCCGTGTGTCAGGGCGCCCCTCCCCCCTCAGACGCCACTAGCTGTGTGTTCCTCGGCCTTGTGCAAAACTCCACTGAGCCATTGTTTCCTCCAGAGCCGGATGTCTGGGGAGGCCGAAGAGCTACTCCTGGGAGTGTTGGCCAGCCGAGTCCCCTGTCACATGCATGGTCTGTGTCCTCGCCTTTCTCGGAGTTGGATATGGTGTTGATTAGGTTTGGAAGAACAGGCCCGATTTCACAGCTGTGCACGGCAGCCCCAGATAGGCGACAGAGCGTCTGCCTGTCGTTTCAGACAGCTGTCGCTTTTCTGTCCTTCCATCAGTGACCGCTCAGGTTCGGGCTCTGGAGGACAGGAGGCATGGAAAGGTTTTCCAGCTGGGAGTCCCTGAGGGAGGTGGAGCCCCGGGAAAGGAGCGGGGTCACTGGGAGGCCCGGGGGCCGGGGTTGACATGGCGCCGGCGAGGGGTAGTATGGGACTTCCACAGGCAGGGGACCCAAAGCGGGGCAGGGACACTCTGGCCTGGAGTCAGACCCCGCCCCGCCCATCCATTCCACTACCCGCTCCGGCTGTTTTCGTGCCGGAAGCAGAACTGAGTAGAGTGACAGACTTTAAAGCCCAAAGTACGGCCCATCTGGCCCTTGATAGGAAACCTTGAGTGACCCCGCTCCAAAGGCGTCTTCTTTTTTTTTTTAAGTTTATTTATTTCGAGAGACAAAGAGAGCGAGAGCTGGGGAGGGGCAGCGTGAGAGGAGATGGGGAGAATCCCAGGCAGGCTCTGAGGTGCCAGCTCGGAGCCTGACACGGGCCTCGAACTCACAAACTGTGAGGTCATGACCTGAGCCGAAATCAAGGCTTAACCGACTGAGCCCCCCAGGTGCCCCCACCAGAGGCACCTTGGAGCCACGCACACAAGCGTGTGTTGAGTTCCAGGCAGCCGACAGGGACCATACAGCCATCTGGGTGGCGAGAGGCGAAGTCTGACGTGCGGCGTGCCGTCCCTCCCTCTGGCCATTTCAGCGCGTGCCGTCCACCGCCTGCTGGAGCAGCGCCACCACGGCGTCGCCTGGCCCTCCACCGAGCACCCCATCTCCCAGCTGACGAGCTCCATCATCCGGCGCATCAACGAGGCTTCTGGGCTCTACCAGATGTTCGGCGTGCTGGCTGACGTCGTCCTGCTGAAGGAGTGAGTAGCCCAGCTTCACCGTTCACTGGTCGGAGCTCCTCTCTGCCTGTTCCGGCGCAGAGTGGCCCTGTGGTTCCCTCCTAAGTGAAGCCTTCAGGGGACAGGGGGATCCATTCTAGGAGTGGGAATCAGTGAAATCAACACCATAAGCTGGACAGACAGACAGATCTGGGTGTGCCTCCCAGGTCTGCCGCTTTCTACCTGTGTGGCCTTGGGCAGCTCACTTAGCCTCTCTGAGCTTTTCTCGTCTGCAGCACAGGAATAACAACCCTTAGGTTACAGGCAGGCGTGAAGGTAACCGGCAGACAGCGTTGGGCACCGAGCAGATGCGCAGTAAACCGCAGCAATACGGGTGGAAGGCCCCCCCTCAGGGCAGGACCACGCTGTCTTCTTCTCAGCTAAGTGACAGGTGGCAGATCACAGACGACACACGGCAGAGCAGGCAGGGAGGAGGGTGCTCTGAGGACAGGTCAGACGCAGGGGGCGTCTCTCAGAGGGAACAGCCTGACCCAAAGCCAGGGAGGGCGACAGCGTGCCAAGTTCAGGGACACACAAGGAATTCACTAGTGCTCAGTGCGAGATTCCCCGCATCGGGACTCCTCTCTTCCCTACCCGCTCTCCACATTCTGACTGCCCCCTGCACCCCGCTAAGCGCCGCCTTCAAATTCCATCAAGTGTCTGACCACCCCTTCCCCCTGCCCCTCCCCCCCCCACAGCCGACTTGGTCCAGCCCTCACCCACCGCCAGCCTCTCACCTGAACCGACTGCAGCCTCGAACCTTTGCCCCACGGTCTGCTCTCAACACAGCGGCCAGGCGGTGCCCTTAAACCCGAGTCACACATGTGCATCTCTGCGCAGCACTTTCCAGGGGCCGGTGGCCTCCATTCTCAGCGCACACAAAACCCGGCGTTTGCGTCATGGCACACACAAGCCCTCCACCTGCCCCTGCTCTCTGCTCCAGGCCACTCTGGCCACACTGGCTGGCCTGCCTCCTGTCCCTTGAAGACACCGAGGCTCCCTCCCAGGGCTTTCCCATGACTGTCCTCTCAGCCTCGGTCACCCTTTTCCCAGATACATGTCAGGTCACTGAGAGCTTTCTGGAATCTGTCCCCTGTGTAAGTCGGGGCTCAGCGGGGACAGTCATGCTCCAGTGAGATGTGTGAGGAGGGTCAGAGCCCGCACGCTGTTTGCACATGCGTGTGCACACACGCACGTGCCCCTCTGGCCTCTGCTGCAACCCTGAGGGTCGTGCCCTCCCGTACTGCCCTTGTCCCCAGGAACGCCACCGCCTTTGACTACCTGGAGGAGTTCCCCGTGCAGATGCTGGCCCAGCTGGAGACCATCACAGGGAGGAGGGCCAGGCATGGGCTCTTCGTCATCAACATGGAGTACGGCAGAAACTTCTCCGGGCCCGACAAGGACGTCTTCTTTTACGACCGCTCCGTGGGGCACACGGAAGACGCGTGGCAGTCGAACTTCCTCCATCCCGTCATCTACTACTACAGGCACCTCCCCACCGGTGAGCCGGACCCCGCCGTCCGTCAGCGTGTCGCCACTGAGCCCTCACACTGCACTCTCAGCTGACAGAGAAGGACACAGTGGTGGCAGAGGAGGTGGGGGGGGTCACCCATAGGACAGATGAGGCAGAGGGTCTGGGAATGAGAAACAGTGTTCCAGATTCTGGTGCGCACTGTGATCCGGGCGGGCCGCACAGGGAGTGTCGTGATCTCCTCCAGGCGCCACTGTCTTGCTCTGTGTGTCCAAGGGAGGCTGAGCGTGGAGGGGAAGGGGACCTGGGGCCTGACTGTCAGAGGGAACAGGGAAAGGAGCCGGACGTGGTTAACACAGGCGTACAGCATAAAAGGCGCGGAAGACCCGGGCAGTGTTCCCAGGCTGTCCTTCCCCTGCTGTGCAGCCTTAGACCACTGCTTACACTCTCTGAGCCTCAGCTTCCTCGTTTGTAAAATGGGAATGACAATAGGATTACGTGAAGATAAATGAGATTAAAAAAAATGCAGAATGTGGGGCGCCTGGCTGGCTCAGTCAGTAGATCGTGCGACTCTTGATCTTGAGGTTGTGAGTTCGAGCCCCCATGCTGAGCTTAGAGATTACTTAAAAAATAAAATTGGGGCACCTGGGTGGCTCAGTTAAGCATCCAACTTCGGCTCAGATCATGATCTCACAGCTCATGAGCTCAAGCCCCGCATCAGGCTCTGTGCTGACAGCTCTGAGCCTGGAGCCTGTTTCAGATTCTGTCTCTCTTGCTCTCTTCCCCTCCCCAACTCACATTTTGTCTCTCTCTCAAAGATAAACATTTAAAAAAAAATTTTTTTTAATAAAGTCTTGGGGCGCCTGGGTGGCTCAGTCAGTTAAGCGTCCAACTTCAGTTCAGGTCATGATCTCACAGTTCATGGGTTCAGGCCCGGCATTGGGCTCTGTGCTGATGGCTCAAAGCCTGGAGCCTGCCTCAGATTCTGTGTGTGTGTGTGTGTGTGTGTGTGTGTGTGTGTGTGTCTTCTCCTCCCCTGCTCACACTGTCTCTCTCTCAAAAATAAATAAACGTAAAAAAAAATATTTTAATAAAATAAAAAAATGAAGACACAGAATGCCACCATGGTGCTTGGCACAGAGTAGCTACCAGTAAATGAGTCCCCCCCCACCCCCCACCCCCCCCGGGGAACATGATTCCTGCTCCAGAAACTAAAGGGCTGTCACTTGGAAGAGGCGTTCTAAAAACAGGCAGAAGTAACATCAACAGGTCAGAGTGACAGGAACGCAGGCTTATATTAGGAATCAGGAGCAGCTAATGCTCGAAGCTGCCCAGCAGTGGGATGGGGCGCCCCTAACGTCGAGTTTCCCAGTAACAAGGATGGTCGAGCTGTGGCGTAAAGAGCAGTTCCGAAGCAATCACAGGGGACCTCAGTGCACACACGTCTTAGAAAAACACCAAGTGCAAGTGATTAGTCTTGGTTCCGCTTTCTGATGCCACGAGGAACAGATCTAGTCTCTGCAAACCCAGAGATGGCTGTCGAACAGGCCGGCCGCTGCCCCACGCAGAGTGTCAGGCAGGCCAGGAGTGAGGGAGGGAGGGAGGAAGGGAGGAAGGGAGGCAGCCGGGGTGCATGGGAACCACACCATCAGCTCCAGCACGGGCAGCCCGGCCACGGGGCCCTGACGCAGCTCCCCTCTCCTCCCCACAGAGCAGGAGGTGAGGTTCCGGCCTGCCAACTGGCCGCTGCCTCGGCCCACAGCCATCCACCACATCGTGGAAGATTTCTTGACGGACTGGACCGCGCCGGTGGGGCACATCTTACCTCTGAGGCGCTTCCTGGAGAACTGTTTGGACACGGATCTGCGAAGCTTCTATGCAGGTAACTTACATTCCTAGAAGGACAAAGTCAGGGAGCTGGGGGTTGAAAGAAGCCCAGAGAGATCCATTTCCCGTGAGGTTTCAGGAGTCCTATCTAGAAATCTCCACTTGAGAATTCCGTTATCCATGGGGTAGACTAGATGTCCGCAGGACGGCACACCTGAAGTTGCTGAGTTGAATGTCATTTTTGTTTCATTTTATTTGTTAGAGAGAGAGAAAGCTGAGGAGAGGGGCAGAGAGAGAGAGAGAGAGAGAGAGAGAGAGAATCCCAAGCAGGCTTCATGCTCAGCATGGAGCCTGACACGGGGCTGGATCCCACAACCCTGGGACCAAGATCTGAGCTGAAATCAAAACTCAGACAGACGCTCAACCGACTGAGCCAACCGGGCACCGTGAATGTTATTTTTAAAGAACTGGCAGGAAAAAAAGGGAACTCTCAGAGGCCAAAGACTAAGAAAAGCATAAAGCCATTGCTGGACATGGTCTATCTGTCCGTCATCAGTCAGTTACTAGAACCCAGGTAACTGACGGCCCTTGCAGGTGGGAAGGTGAGGCAGGAGAGTGGGAAATCTGTTTAGAGACCCTTCACATAAGCTTGGATCTCAGTGGATTAACCGGGAGGCACAGAACACTCCCAAGAGGGAGATGATGGGGACGCGTCCTTTTGGCTCTGGGTAGAGTGAGGGAGGCGCTCTCCCAAGAATCTCTAACCACTAAGCCTCGCTCATGTGAGTTGGGGGCCAGACTTCACACCATCATTGTGCAAAAATCACAGAAGTGAATGCAAGATCTCTGTGAAGAAACACACCTTAAAACTAGGGCTCAAAAGACATTCCCACAGAGAAAGTTCCAAGTAAGTCGAGCCCACGCCCCTCCCCCACCAAGCCAAAAACATTTAACACATAAGGACACAAACAGCCAGGAGGAAGTATCGGTACGAACAGCAAACTGTGGGGCCAAACTGGAAAGACTGTGGGAATTGGAATGGTTACAAAAGAGGAAACAAAGTCTGTCTAAAATATGTGAGGAAAATGGGGTGCCAGGGGGGCTCAGTCAGTTAAGCGTCTGACTGTTGATTTCAGCTCAGGTCATGATCTAACGGTTGGTGAGTTTGAGCCCCAAGTCGGGCTCTGCACTGACAGCATGGAGCCTGCTTGGGATTCTCTCTCTCTCTCTTTCTCTCTCTCTCTTTCTCTCTCTCTCTCTCTCTCTGCCCCTCCCCTGTTCATGCGTGCACACTCTCTCTCAAAATAGATAAACTATAAAACACATTTGAAAAAATTAAATATATAAGGAAACAAACAGATTCTTAGAAATATAATTGGTCAACTTTCAGAAAGATCTAAGTAAGACTTCTGGAAGTGAAAAAAATATGTAATTAGAAAGCCAACCTGAAGATAAAGTAGCGCATTATACAGAGGGGAAGAGAGAATCGGCAAACTGGAAGATAGCATTGACAGAAGTCTGATGTTCTAGAGGGAGAACTGAAACAAGCCAAATTTTTGTCTTTTTTTAAAAAACCCCTGAATGCCTAGAACATCCACTCTTTTGTGTTCAGCAAACATCTTTTGAACACCAGCTGTGTATCAGGCACTGTTCATATCAAATCCGGTTAGAGGGGCACCTGGGTGGCTTAGTCAGTTAAGCGTCCGACTTTCGCTTAGGTCATTATCTTGTGGTTCGTGGGTTCGAGCCCCGCATCGGGCTCTGTGCTGACTGCCAGCTCAGAGCCTGGAGCTTGTTTCAGTCTGTGACTCCCTCTCTCTCTCTGACCCTCCCCTGCTCACACTGTCTCTCTCTCTCTCTCTGTCCTAGAAATAAATAAAACAGTAAAAAAAAATTTGGTATGACATCGCCCGCTTTTCCCAGTCCTACTGGGTTCTGCAAATCCTCCAACAAAGCTTAACAGNCCCTCTCTCTCTCTGACCCTCCCCTGCTCACACTGTCTCTCTCTCTCTCTCTGTCCTAGAAATAAATAAAACATTAAAAAAAAAAAAAAAAAAGTCCGGTTAGAGATGGTCAGTGTTCTCTCAACAGCCTCCGTCAACTTTGAAATAAAAACATATAGATTAAGAGAGACGGCCTGGGGTGCCTGGGTGGCTTAGTTCGTTAAGCATCGAACTTCAGCTCAGGTCATGATCCCATGGTCCATGAGTTCGAGCCCCATGTCGGGCCCTGTGCTGACAGCTCAGAACCTGGAGCTTGCTTCAGATTCTGTGTCTCCCTCTCTCTCTGCCCTCTCCCCTACTTGTGTGTGCGTGTGCGCTTGCACTCTCTCTCTCTCAAAAATAAATAAGCATTAAAACATTTTTTAAAGAGAGGGATGGCTTGAAACAGCAGTGTAAATTCAATCTAAGTACATGAAGACACTCAGAGGTCATTCATGGCTCAGCGCTGAGCGACTCTGAAGTGCTGGCATTCTGCAAACTAACAACTGTGACTGCACACGCTTACGTGGGAAATTACATGATACAAGTCTAGAGATCTCAGCGACAAGATCCCGGCCTGTGTCTCGAGGAGGTTTCAGGAGTCCACGAAGATGGCCGCGCCTATTGCGGGTATATCCCGCCATGCGGCGCAGCCTCCACCAGTGCCTCATCCGGGCCCTGCAGCCTCTGGGCTCCCCCACTCTCGGGATCTGCTCGGCACTGCGAGCCACTAAGCGTCACTGCCTTCCGCTTGGATGAGCCCTCCCGCCTCGGAGCCAGCTGGCAGGGAAGTGGGCTCTCCTCTACCCCCTGAGCTGATGCACAGCTGCTAGTGTTGGCCCCAGATTCTGCCGGGCTCCTCTGCCCCCCTGGCCCTGCAGAAGGGGTGACGTGTGTCTTCAGGAGGTGGTGCTCGCCAAAAGTCCACCTCGCTGCCGCTCTGCCCTCCTCCCCTGTGTCTGCTGTCCTCCTTGCTCAGAGAGGACTCTTCTCCCACGGGCTGTCTGTGCATAAGTCAGGAATAAAATAGGAAATACTCTCTGTGTACCTCCTACAACCTCTTCACCCCTGCGAGCCTCACGACGTCCTTTGCAACGTGTCTGTTTTGGGGGGATTTTGTGTGTGTGTGTGTGTGTGTGTGTTTGCTTGTTTTGGAGATAAAAGGCTCAAGACAGTTTTTGGACATTGGCCCCTTCTCATCTTGTCTTAAATCCCTGAGAAGACCGAGCCCAGTTCAGTTTCATCTTTTCTATTTTTTAAGCGGAAGTTACATAAGCCCTTAGCTAACATTTTTTCTCACTTCCACCCTCGCTCCCCAGAAGGAGCTACTTCTTGCTCTTCTGGTGGTTTCTTCATATCTCTGGATCATAAACATCCACAGCTGCTTCCTGACAGAGCCAACGAGCTGTGGGCCAACACTCTGCTGTGGTAGCGACCAGGGTTTCCCAGCTTCCTCTGTCCACCCCCCACGGTGCTTAGACCAGTGCTCTACACCCGGTATTTGCAACCCAGATATTGCTGAGGGGGAATAAATCCTTGCAGGCAGCCCTGAGTTCAAAATAGGGCTGACCACCCAGCTCCTGGCCAGGCCAGCTTCTAGAAGAAGAAAGGGCCGAGGGGGTCTGCTCTGGGGTGGCCAAGCTCCCAGCTGGGGCTGGCTCCCTGCAGAGCACCGCTGGGCCCAGATCCCCAGGGAGCTGAGTCATATCTGGTTTCCGCTTTCTGTTTGGAGCCTCGTTCTTCCAGAATGGCCGGGCAGGCCAACTATTCTTGGAACGAAATCCGTGGCTCCTCGGATCGGTTGTGAGGGACCCATGAACGTGAGCTCCCAGGCGCAAGGCCTAGGTGAGGCCCCGGGGCATCGGCCGCTCCTCTTCCTCTCCCCACACGTCACCGTCTTATTCATTTATCTCCTTTTTGCTTTTGTGTAGAGTCCTGCTTCCTGTTTGCCCTGACGCACCAGAAGCTGCCCCCCTTCTGCCAGCAGGGGTACCTGAGAACGCAGGGGCTTGTGGGAACCGAGAGCCTCCGACGGCGTGGAGCAGAGCGCGGGCTCCCGCAGGACGATGCCTCCATGGGCAGCCACCTTGAGGACGGGCGCCGGGGGCCCGAGGGTGGCCCCCGGGCCCCAGGGCCTCCGCTCCAGCCCCTCAACAGCAACAAGGAAGAGCTGTGACAGCCAGGCTTCCCCACCCAGGCCCACAGCCGGCGCCTCTGTCCCGCCACTGTGGTTGCCGGGCCACTCAGATGGTCACAGTGACCAAGGCCATACGGAGAGGGCGTGTCAGGGCTGAGGGAGGCCGGCCAGCCGTCTCCCCTCCGGTCTGGTCCCTGGCTGCCCGGGAGGTGGGGTCCGGAGAAAAAGCCTTAAGGGTTTGTGGCAGGCACTTTAAAGCAGACACTCTAATGTCCTCAGCCATCTCGCGCAGGTGGGACTGTCACCCCTGATGAAGCTATTAGCCCAGAGTGGGTAGGCGACTCCTAGGAGTCCCTGTCCGGGGAGCCCTGAGGTCTGCTCCGCTCTGCCCACCTCACCACTCCGCCGCTCCCTGCCCCTGCCTCTGTTCCCAGAACCCAGGGGCGCCCTGCCCAGCTTATCAGCCTGGGCCCAGCCACTGTCACCAGCGCAGAAGGGACAGCTCCTGCAAAGCCACCTTATCTAAACAGGCTTCTCCCTGAGCAGCAGGACTCAGAGCTGCGTCCGCCCCCAGACCACACTCCCTGACTTATCTTCAACCTCTGCATTCTCTTCTCTTTCCTCCTACTGGCCCCGTGCCCTTGGCCTTGCCCGTGCCCCGCCCCTGCCCTCTGGCACCCGGAACAACGCGCTGCCTCAGACCTGCCTGAGCCGGTTTCGCTGAACCATCAGCACCCTGTCTTCCCAGTGAGGACCCATTCTGAGGTGGTTCGCCTGCCGTGTGTACGGAGCCTGGCTCACCCAGGAGGCCTTTCCAACCGCATTTGTACAATGACACCAGCGTGGTTACCTTCTGGTCCCCTTTGCCGCCCGCGCTCTTCTGCCTCGCCGGAAATCTGTTCCCTTCCTGCGCTCCCGTCAGGCCTTTTCGTCCCATTTAGGACTAGGCCGTGGAAAGGAAACCGTTTGTACATACAGTAATCATGGTGATTTTTTCAAAGCTCAGGCCCCTAGATGATAGCTTTTTCGCTGGTTTGTACTAGTCCGTGCTTGCACTCCGGATTCAAGGGACACGGGCTTTCTGGATCCGCAGCCATCTTCTGGAAACACCCTCTTCCTCTCTTAGTTCCACCGTCCGGCCTGCTGCCTGTCTGCTGACGCCTCTCCCTCCAGTCCTGTGCAGCTACAGCAGTGACACTCGGCAGCCTGAGCCTGGAGGGGAGGTGCTTTCCTGGGACCATACCTGACATTCGCCCAGGGCTGAAACGTCTAAGGATCCCTCTCTAACCCCAGGGGGTTTGCCGTATTTCATACAAATTCCATGTAAACCAGATTGGGTCCCGTCAGCCCGCCCACCCTTTCCCAAAACCTTTTGTAAAACAAATCCTGTAATTAGGACTGTTCCCGTAAAGTCACGCTGCTCGTCACACCTACCCAGTTAGTTACCGACGGTGGCTAAGCAGCTTGTGCCAATAAAAGTTCAAGGTGCTTCAACAGACGATTCACTGACGCCTAACTATGTGACATCTGCTGCTTTCTGCCATCATCTGCCGGGTCGTTAATGCTGTCAGAATTTCAGCCAGCCTCGTTTGTGTTTCGTAAGATATGGTTTCGTGGGTTAGCTGATTAGAGACGCCTTCTCTGGTATTCTTGTGAAACTGATCAGTAATTTGGAAAAGAAAATAAATCTCATTTCAAACCCCTATTTCATGCTGTACTTCGAAATTAATTCCTGAGGAATATTTTTTAAAGCCGTACAGAAACTGGGGGCGCTTGGGTGGCTCATTGGGTTAAACATCCAACTCCGGCTCAGGTCATGATCTCACGGTGTGTGGGTTCGAGCCCTGCCTTGGGCTCTGTGCCTGGAGCTTGCTTCGGGTTCTGTCTCTGTCTCCCTCTCCCCCTCCCCCACTCACACTCTGTTTTTCTCTCTCTGAAAAATAAATATTAAAAAAAAAGCCATACAAAAACTAGAGGTGGAGAAAGGGTGCCGTAATAAAAGAAAGGACTGTCCCAAGTTTAGAAGCAAAGAAGTAATTCCCCAAAGGAAAAGGTTTTACATTTCCAGCCCATAGTTAAAGTTAAGTTTTTTAAATTCCAGTTAGTTAACATACAATGTGATATTAGTTTCAGGTGAACTCTGTTTTTTCCTTTTTTTTTTTAAAGTAATTCCTACACCCAATGTGGGACTTGAACTCACAACCCCGAGATGATGCATCACACCCTCCGCCAACCAAGAGAGCCAGCCGCCCCCACCCCAGCCATATTTAACTAACGTGAGTCTTTAAAGAAAAGGATAGAGGCGCTTGGGTGGCTCAGTCGGTTAAGTGTCCGACTCTTGATCTCAGCTCAGGTCCTGATCCCGCGGTTGCAGAGTTCAAGCCCCACATTGGGCTCTGCGCCATCAAGATAAAAGAATAGTCAAGCAAACTATGGAGTTTTCACCCAACAAAATACAACACAGCTCTCAAAAACGCTCAGAGGCGGTGGAAGACCATGCAGTAGAAATACATGCGTGACAAAGTCCAGCGAAAAGCAGAATATGAAATTGTAGTTGCAAACTACTTAGAACTATATAAAACTAGAAAGCCACATACAGGGGAGACCCTGGCAAGGACATGTCACAAAATGTCAACAGTAGCAGTATTAGGCTTGCGGACACATTTTTTTTCCCTTACTCTCTATAGCGTTTGGGCTGACTGACCCATCACAAGAGAGGAGATCTCTGGAAGCATCTTCTCTCCCAAGCAATAGAAAAGGAAAGATAAAAATCCTCATTTTGTGGAGGTTCCCTGGGGGTAATCGCCAACCCACAGTGGAGCCTCCGAGTCCTATCATCTGGTAAAAGTGAGGGCACAGCCAAAGTCTGCCTACAAATTGAATCACCAGGAAGTGAATTTGTCTGCTAAACTAATTCCAATACCCAGTTACTTACTGAGTACTTCCTGCACACCCAGAACTGCATTGTGGTGGTTTTAAAAATAGGTTCACAAAGTCTTCGATACATCTTCAAAGAGGTGGAGCTAATTCTCCTCCTGTTGAGGGTGAGCGGAACTGAGTGATTCACTTCTAGCAAATAGAGCAGAAGTGACGGGACCCCTGGGTGGCTCAGTCGGTTAAGCCTCCGACTCTTGATCTTGGCTCAGGTCATGATCTCTCGGTTGGTGAGGTCGAACCCTGCAGAGGGCTCTGCAATGATAGCTCAGAGCCTGCTTGGGATGCTCTCTCTGCCCCTCCCCTACTCGTGCTTTCCCTCTCTCTCCCTGTCTCTCTCTGTCAAAATACATAAATAAATTTAGAAAAAGAAGTGACAGGATGTCATTTTCAAGATTAGGTTATAAAAAGACTGAAAGACTGTAGCATTCACCCACCAAGAGACTGTTCTCTCCGTCTCCCTTTCTCTCTCCCTCTCCCTCTATAGTTACTTGCTCAGGTCACCCAGGCATGGACAGAGTGGTCCATGTAAGGAACCAAGATCTGCCAAGAGCCATGTGCATCAGCCTAGAAGCAGATCCTACTCCCATCTGGTTTTTAGATGACTGCCGTGCTGGCCACCACCTTGAACACAGCCTCAGAGAACCCTGAGCCAGAACCACCCACCTAAACCACTCTCAGATTCCTGATCCACAGAAACTTTGACATAATGTCTGCTGTTTTAAGCTGCTACATTTTTGTGGGTTTTTTTTTTTGAAGGGGTGTTTTGTTACACAGCGGTGGATAACTAACACATGCACTAAACAGCTCACCTGCGTTCATTGTCACCACAACCCAAGGAGATAGATATCCCTATCCTGTCCCCCATTCTCATGCTGAGAACAATTACACAGGTGGTTTGCTTCGAAAATCCACTTCCTTCCAGCCACCCTCGAAATACTAGGGTGTGTGGTCCCACAGGATGGCAGAGAAGTGTTGAACTGCTAGTTACACAAAACATACCCTCAAAAACAGTATTCATCCACTCCCTCAACCAGACGTCCTGTGATACAGGTGGGGCGGGATGGTTCAGATGGAAAACTCTAGAGCCTGGACTGTCCACCTCCTCTAGCCTTCAACCTCAGTTCGGATCCTCAGTTCTCTGACCAATTACAACATCTTCCCCAAAAGCCAAATTGGATTCTTCCCTAGAAAAGAAACCGTAGGCTGCATCATTTCCCTGCAGATGCTTATTTTTTTTTAATATGGTAAAAAATGCTGACTGGGGAAAGGCTTTTGTCAGACTGCTGGCTTTAAAGAAGCATTTAATTCAATCTGGCAGCCCAGACGGAATGTAAATCTGCCGCAAAGTGAAGCTGACGGGCAAATATACGAGATGCTTCAGCCCAAGTATTTAATCCAAATACATCACACGATCAATCCATCAACCTTGAAATAAAAAAAAACGTGTAACAGATGTATTTAAGCAGGGAAGAAAAGACCAGCAGAATATCCGTCTCGCTCCTTTCTCAGTTCTGCATAACTAAAACTGACTCACTCGCCTGCTGTTCTGGAGAAAGCCACAAGTTTAGTGCTCATTGCAAAATGTTCCAGAAGTCTGTCGTCTGTTTTTTTGGTTCTCTTTGAGATGTTAGCATCTCAGGCCAGTCTCTTGGATCATTCCAAGTCATTAATAAATTAATTAGATGCAGAAAAATCTCATCACCAGAAAAGAAAGATGGCGATGCAATCTACCTTGAAATTTCACAGTGTGTTATCGTCTGTCGTTGTAGTTTAAAAATAAAGCAATTGCAGGGGCTCCTGGATGGCTCAGTTGGTTAGGCGTCCGCCTTCAGCTCAGGTCATAATCTCACAGTTCTTGAGTTCAAGACCGTCTTGAGTTCATGAGCCCGCTTTAGACCCTCTGTCTCCCTCTCTCTCTGCGTCCCCCACTCTTTCTCTCTCTCTTTCTCTCAAAAATAAGTAAACATTAAAAAAACAAATAAAGCAACTACAAAAATATATGAGATGAGCCCCCCCTAACACCAGCTATGTTTAAGTTTTAAATAAGTCCATCTATCAGGAAAAGAAGAAGTGCCCAGAAGCCTGTGCTATGAAGCACCGTGGTAGGTTAAAGATGGCCAAAGATTTTATGACAATTCCTATCAAGGTGTGAGGTCTGCATCCCCTCCCCTTGAATTAGGGGGGCTTCTGGGACTGTTTGGACCAAAAGAACACGGTGGCAGTGATGCCCCACCAGTTTCTGGGCACGGGCCCTTGGATACTGGCAACTTCCGCTACGTCTCTGGGAACCCAGCCAGCGAAGTGAGAAAGGCCCATGTAGAGAGGAACTGAGGCATCCAGCTGAGCTCCGAGCTAATAGCCAGGACCAGCTTGCAGCCATATGGGTGCGCCATATTGGAAATAGATCCTCCCGTCCCAGCGGGGCTCCCCATATGGAGCAGAGATTAGCAATCCCTGCGGAGCCCCACCCAAATGCCATACTTGTGAGGAAAATGATCCTTGTGCTAAGCCACTAAGTCTAGGGGTGGTTTGTTACACAGTAACAGATAACAGGGATAGTCACCACGGGGTGGCTATAATGTGGCTTCAGTGAAGGTACACTTATAAGAGCGGATATGATATTTGTATTAGCAATTGTTAATAAGCATCTTACAAAGATAGTTACAAAGCACATTCATCAAAAAACTGTTAGTAAACTATAGCTATGGTATTGCACCATTTAATATATATACACTGAGGGATCAATTAAAAAGAAGAGTGTAGGGGCGCCTGGATGGCTCAGTCGGTTAAGCGTCCAACTTCCCTCAGGTCATGATCTCACAATTAATGGGTTCGAGCCCCACGTCAGGCTCTATGCTGACAGCTCAGAGCCTTGAACCTGCTTCAGATTTTGTGTCTCCCTCTCTCTCTGACCACCTCCCCCCGCTCATGCTGTCTCTCTTGCTCTCTCTCAGAAATAAATAAAACATAATAAATACATACATACATACATAATGTATGTAAAAAAATAATTTTTTTTAAAAAGAGCATGCAGCTCTTGATCTCAGGGTCATGAGTTTGAGCCCAATGTTGGGCATAGAGATTACTAAAACAAACAAACAAATACCTTAAAAAATAATGGTTAAAAAAAATAAAAGTGAAGGAAAGAGAAGCACGAGCAAGTTAAATAAAAGAAGAGAGTCCTTGGAGACTCAGCCTTTGTTATGTGGTTGCCTGAAATTAACTGGTGGAAACTCAGGAGTCTGGTGTCTGTCTTTGCCTCAGTAAAACCACAAGCAGCCTACTAACTATCATACTTGTATGAAAGTCAGCCAAGACAAACCAGTATTTCACAGAGATCAAACGCTCTGCACTTGAAAGGGACTTTCACCGAGGCAAAACCAATCTGGCCCAGCACAACTTTCTTTGACCAAAGGACCCTCCTCCAGCCTCAACTTCTTCCCAACTTTATCAGACATGAATTGATCAAGAAGGGATATGGCAAATGGAAGGATTATTGGACTCGGGTCAAACAGCCCTTAATACCCGCATGTTTGTAATCCACACGCCTTCCTTTGGAGAACCCACTCAATGTCCACCAACGCTATAGGACCACCCATCACAGTGGAGGCAGGGAGTGGGGGCGGGGTCAGGCAGACATATAATGCGACTGGTCCATCGGAGATGCACCGCGGTTGGACAGTGACCCACACAGAGCCAATCAGAGTCTTTCCCGAGACTTGACGGTCGGAACCTGGGAGGGAGAGGGACTTTCCTGTTG